AAGAAATCTATGCATATCAGTCGACAATAGTAGAAGACAGTTAAGTTCAGAGAAACAGGACTTATGGCAGTATACTGGATAAGGTAGATCAGACATCTGTCCTTAAAATGTACACTTAAGGCATCTTTCATCTTGGAAATTTAACATTTCAACCCTGGCACCAACTTTCGCAAAGTCCTTAACTGAAGCATGTGCATATCTGCCTCAATCTACACCCATGCATAGTGGCACACACAAATAGGCATAAGCACAAATTAAAGAAAATTTCTATCATATGAAATAATAATCTAGATCTTGCCTATAAAATGCCCATGATGATATATTCACTAGATATACTCCCAAACCACTTTATTTTCAACTTTTACATTTTTCTTATAGAACCTGCAGAAACTCCATTTGAGAGGAACTCTAAAAGGTGCAGAAAAGAACAGAACCTAAATTTGAATGGTTTATGTAATCAGCATCTAACAACCTATCATTAGAAGAGGTCACTTTCACTGACACTTTGTATTGATAGATAATGAAGTTAGTAAACTAAAGACAAACCAGATGATGTATTGGAACAGCAGTGATAGTCCCATATTTTCCATTTATGCACCCAACAATCTCATGAACCTGGCTTGTAAACTTTTGATCTGCAAAAGGAACACAAACAGTAGGTTTTAATGGGATTGAGAGAACTGAGAATGTCATCATCCAAGATAACAAATGAGAAATGTTAATATAAGTTGATAAAACCTTGTCACAATTAACGAATGGCATGACATGTGATAAAACACAAATTCATTAACAATGAAGGATAAACCTTGACTGAAGGGAAATGAAGTAGAAGAAGACCAATAGTACAGAGAAAGGGAAATGACAGAAGCTATAGCTTACAGATGTGCCCCCGTGATGATGTATTGGAAAACTAACTTATATTTGTGACTTTTGCACAACAATCATAAGCATCAGAGTGCAACACAGAAGGAAGGAACATACACTCAGGAACATTTGTCCTCGAGGGAATAGCAATCTGCAGGAGAACCACTTTACTTCGCCAATTTGGATTTTCCTCAAGGAATTTTTCAAAAGCCAAAATCTTTTGAGGAATTCCCTTGATCATATCAAGCCAATCCACACCTAACATTATCTGTCATGAAGAACATTAACAATAAGTAACTGAAACAAGAAACAAAGTGAAAGTATAACATATGCCACATTACATAAGTTTAATGTTGGAGACATCAACAATGATGCCAGTGAAAATATAACAATAATGTGCCTTTACGGTAAACTGTCAACTAGATATAAGTAAAATTATCAAAGCAGAAGACACCATTCAAGGGCTTGCCACTAACCAAAAAAAAGAAAGAAGGAAAGGCATCTTATTTGTGTAACATCCCTCTTTTGCACATACAAAGGGTCCTACAAACTATTGAATAAATGGAATGACATGGACATTTATAAAACTCTAAAATCTTTTAACTTACAAAGAAAATTTTAAATGATATCTAAAATGTTCCAGGAAAATATTGTTCAAATAGATCCCATCAAAAGTTGGAGATCATTGAGAACAACTATCTAACCACACTCTGTCCCTCCTAAACCATGATTACCAGCAAGTTCATGCCTTTACACGAGCCATTTACTAATGCATACGTTAACTATTCTCTTAGAGAATCAAGTACAACTTTGTAACAAGTCCAATCAATTCAATTCTAAGAAACATTGCTAGATATCATACAGAGGTACTGAATCTGGTGCACTAAAAGTCCAATCAATTCAATTTATAAAATTAATTATAAATACTACATTAAATTTGTGTTTATATGTGCGTATAGGTTAGAAAATTCCTTTATTTTTTATTTTTTATGGAAAGTTGGTATTTTAATTTAGTTTTGAACCTTTTTTTTTTAACAAATTTACAAGGAACCGGATTCAAACTGTTACTCGGGGAAGATAAATGCATTTTAAACGTGATTTGATGTTACTGGACCCAAAGGCCCAAGTGCATTTAGTTTTGAACTATTAATTGATGATTTGGAAGAAAATATAATTCCCAAATGATGTAACTGCCAAATTTTCACACAATTTTATTCTTCTTTCAGATATTTGTCGTGGATGTAGTAAGGGTGTTTGGATTAACGTTGAATTTATAAATAACATTCAACCGTTGAGTTTGTAATTATTATTTTCATACATTTCAACATTAATTCTTCACTGAATCAATCACTATAAGAGTCGAGGACTCTAAATCAAAACAAAGAGTCTAGGACTCAATTTTTTCTTCCATTTTCTTATTGTTGGGCTTGGGCTATGATAGCAAGACACAAGAGGCCCAACTAGAAGAAGGCTTTCTCAGAAACGCTAAGGCCACTTTGGGCTCCCAAGTCCCAATTAAAGACGGTTTTTCCGGATGGGTTTTTTCTTCTGGGCTGAAAAGTGCCCGTACGTAACGGACTAACGGCTGACACTGCACCGAGTCACCGACTCAACCAGTGGCTTCCGGTTCCGGCGGAAAAAACACCTTCTTTTAACCGTCCGATTTAACTCCGTCGGCTTCTGGAACTGTCGGAGCCAACGACCATGATCTCCCCACGCCTGCATTCATACCCCTCATCATCCTCGCCTCGTAAATAGCACCACCGGTAGAGTCCCTCTGTTACTGCCAATACAAAACCATCTTCTCCCTCCTAACACGCTGCCCGCCCAGAAGCTGAAGCGAGGAGTAGGGTTGGGGTTTTGGCGCTTAGCGTGGTGGGTGCGGTGGGATTGCGCGTGGAGGGATGTAATGTGAATTACGGAGAAATTTATGGCGTCGTATCTGATTTGAACGAGTTGGAGTAGTTTTCTAAGCGAGTTGACTCTGGCTAATTCGGACGTGGAAAGGGCCGCCTGGGTTCCACATAACTACGGTAATGCCCCAGGCATTTCAAAACGGTGCTCCGCTGTCCGCACACTTCTTAGTCTAATACATTCAGTTCAAAAAATACTCCCCTCCACACACGCGCGCAAGAAAACGAAAAAAAAAAAAAAAAAGGGAAAAAGGAAAAAGAAATCGTCAATGTTGTTTCTTGAAGTGTGTTTTTGATTTTGGTTTTCGTGGAAGTGACAGGGACTATTGAGGAAGAGTGTTGAAACAGTGCAGAGGAAGGCAGTATTTTACGGGACTGCCTTGAATTAGGCCTGGGGACCAATGAATTAAAAGCGTTGCTCCAAATTCTCAAAGGTTTGTCTTCACAGTTCTATTCCAATTCTGATAACAGCCGCAGTTTATCGTGTGAAAAACAGATGGTACCTTATCAATTTCTGACTGAAATCTTATATTTCTTACTTTTTGTAAACATGGGTGATGGAAAGGATGGATCTTTTTCATTTTTGCTAATGATAGAAGGAACGAATCAGTTCTAACTTTTTCATGCATTTTCTAAAACCTTTGTAGCGGAAGACTGGCTCGAGCATTGCCTTGCCAGGTTGGAGTACAGAACCCATTTTGGCCCTCTCTCCAATGTCATGAACAGGTACTCTTTTTGGCCGAATCATGAAGAGGTGCTTAAACACAGTGAAAGTGACATAATATTTCATAAATGGTCCTGTAAAATACATATTTCATAAACTTTAAGGACGATTTGGGTTCCTTTTGAAGTTAAAAGACGAATTAAGTTCAGAAATGAAAGTTGAGGGACCAAATTGGGTATTTAACCAAATATGTATTTTGAACAAGAAGTCCATGTGATGTGCTCTGTTTCAATTTAGGTAGAAAGCTACCTTCCTTCCATTATGTCACTCTCCTTCCTACCAAACTTCACTGAATCATGTGCTTAATAAATGTCCTTTTGTTCTATGCTTATCCTTTCGCTTGATGGACACAATGTTCCACTTAATGACTTGCCCTAGGTAGCATTATCTCGGTTGGCCTCAATGGTAATATTTGACTAGTCTTTCAAATCCAAATCACGTGCCATTAAACTTACACGTGTTTATATTTGCAGTAGTCTTTGTTGTGGTTAGGAGTTTAAGATTTATATTTGAATAGTCTTTCAAATCTTAATATGAATGGACTAGCATATAGTCTTTTGGACCTCGAAATTGAATTTTGGAGGGATTAATAAAGTTGATTCTAATCTGCATTTTGTTTTAGGTACGTGTCTATGTGATGCTAATCTGCTTTAAGCAACCCTGTAACCAAGTCTTAGGGAAATTTTGTATCCAGGAGAAGTATCTTGGTAGAAATTTGCAAGTTGTTAGTATTGAATATTGGGTATGAGTGAGATTTAGGAAAATTCAGTGCAACGTTTCTCTCACTTCCATTTCTTTTGCATTGACTTCTGTGTTGCTCATTTACAAAAATTACCTTTTGGAAGAGTGGAAATGAGATGACTGACAACTCTGTTTCATGCTTTAAGGTGCTGGCACCAGAAATTAGCTACATACTGAGGCTTATTGGGGCTAAATCCAGGAGCATTTTGGTAGCTTTTGGATGTTGAAGAGAAAATGAGATGTCAAAGTTTTCATTCAATTCACAAAAAATTCAAATTGCTGCTGGCCAAATTATTGTTGCCTGATAATCCATGGATCAAAGTCAGTATCGTCACAGCTGACATAGGTCAAGGACAACCAAGCACTTCAAAGTTCCTATGCACCAAAGTAATTACGTTTTCCATGCCATCAATTCATGCTGGGAAGATGCAAACTAGAAACTTCTAAGTTAACCGCAGAAAGGTCACTCACCCAAAGCCTAAGTTACTTGGTATGACTTATCTCTTGCATTAAATTTAGCTACCTACTAGCATTTATAATTTAGCTGGTACCCTTTTTTCTCTTATTCTAGACCATTTGATCCATTTCTTTTGCTGCTGGAATCTTGATGATTGATAGGATCTGATCAGGGAAAACTTCCACGTTTATTTCTTTGATTAAATAAGGCTTTTGCTTTCAAGAGTAGCCTGCTTCTCCATCAATTTCTAGGTAATGTACCAACTACTAAATTGAGTGGAAGAAAGTAATAGGCGAAATGACTAGAAGAAAATGATTTTAGGACGACTCTGTCTTTTTTTACTGTAATTGTTTGTTATAATTTTTAATCCTTTTGATCATTGACTTTGTTCTATTCTCTGTGAAAACAGATTTTGCAGCCTCATTGCTATCCTTCAAATGCTTGTAAATGGAAGGAGGTAAGAGAGGTTCCACCATCATGCATTGGCAAAGGTGAAATATTAATTAGCGCAATAATCCAATTTGTTATTTTCCATTCATTTAAAGTGATTGAAACATATATTTCTGCTTTAAAATCCAATTAACATCATGCTACCATGACATAACCTAGCATAACAAGCAGATTTATTATTATTTATCTAATTGATATTAGTAGAAAAGGCTGGTCCCCCTATAATCCTATTAAATTTATGATATGATATGGCATGGCATTAACTAAGGTTAAATGAAATTTGCAAGTTTTGACATTGAGTTGGGCATCAAAAGTGAGAGAATGAAACCGGTGATGGATATTAATGTTCTCCAGCTAATAATGATAAAAACCCAAAAATGGAAAAGACTGAAAGCCAGGCATATAGATGGAGTTCTTGGAAAATTAGCCCTTCAATAATCATGTTGATACACACGATTATAGGCTTGAAATAACACTAATTCTTTGAGTTTCCCAACAAAAAAGATTTAAAAGGCAAAAGAAAAAATATGTGATAACTCTTTTGTGTTGGATCCATTCAACACAAAATTTAGAGCTGAGAGGTTCATTGCCAGCCAGTCTCAGTTTTCTCTTCTTACATTATGTTCGCGTGAAATTTAATGCACCTAACCAACTTCTTCAACTGTAAATGGCTATGAACAGAGTCATCTTCTCTCTTGCGTCTTCTGTGTTTCTCTGTTCTCCTCCTATATATATGCTTACATTGCATTTATACTACTCACACTACCATCATAATTCCTCTATTCCCATTCCCTTTTGATCATTCTTTCTTGGTTTTCAAATCTTACCTGATCAAATGGGGAAATGGGATGTGGTTTGTCTGACTTTATTGGTTTTAAATTTATGTTTTGGTGCTAGAGGAGAGCCTCAGGTTCCTTGCTACTTCATCTTTGGGGATTCTCTGGTTGACAATGGGAACAACAACCAGCTCCAGTCTTTGGCCAGAGCTGATTACTTGCCATATGGAATCGACTTTCCAGACGGTCCCAGTGGAAGGTTTTCCAATGGCAAAACCACCGTCGATGTCATTGGTCAGATCCTTCTCTCTTGCCCTCTTGCTTCTCAATCAACAGTTGTCTTTGCATGTTATTTTTACCTTCAGTAGAAGTTCTTTTAAAAGATCTTGAATGTTCTTCCCTGTCTAAATTTCAACCACACAAAGAAAAAAACATCGGTTTGTCCTTTGTTGATTGAAGCATTATCAGTAGAATTAGATTTCCAGGCATCTTATGAAAGATTTTCCACGCATGCATTCACGCGATTTACAAGGTTTACAATTGGATGAATAGATCTGTAGAAATCACAAGAAAACATAAATAGTTTTCACTTTGTGACATCATTCTTTAAGTGGAATTACATCATCTAATCCAAATTCTTTTCTTCCTACAGCTGAGCTGTTGGGTTTTGACGATTACATTCCTCCCTACTCAACTGCCACGGGTCGAGACGTACTGAAAGGAGTTAATTTTGCATCTGCGGCTGCTGGAATCAGAGAAGAAACTGGACAGCAACTGGTAATTACTAATTAAAAAGGTCAATTTGACACTGACCTACTACTGCTTGAGGGCAGCAACTATTTTAAAATTGTTATATCATGCAAGTATTTAGAATAATAATCATGGGCAATATTGAATGTTAATTACTTTTATTAAACTTGGAAGTCCACTGCAAGAAGTCTATTTGAAAATCAACAGATGTGCAGTTTCAACTTCTAATTTTTTGGAAGATGTATCAGCTTTTAGAAAAAAACAAAAAAACAGACAAAAAAAGAAAGACAAGACGTATAGAAATTTCCTGTTTAGCCTACCTTACAAATTACAATAGAAAAGTTGTTTTAAAGGTTAGACGTTGCACTAACATTCCTCCCCTCTGTCTATTAATTTGGTTCTTTCATTATTTTTCTAGGGAGGTCGGATTACTTTCAGCGGACAGGTTAGAAATTACCAGAACTTAGTCTCCCAGGTGGTGAATATTTTAGGGAACGAAGACACAGCAGCAAATTATCTTAGCAAGTGCATATTTTCCATTGGACTGGGCAGCAATGATTATCTCAACAACTATTTCATGCCCCTGTATTACAATACTGCTGACCGCTACACCCCAGAGCAATACTCCGATGTTCTCATTCAACAATACACTGAGCAGCTACAGGCTCTGTACAACTATGGAGCCAGGAAATTTGTGTTGATTGGAGTAGGCGCAATAGGCTGCAGTCCAAATGAATTGGCTCAGAACAGCCAGGATGGGAAAACTTGTGTGGCAAGAATCGACTCTGCTAACCAAATCTTCAACAATAAGCTCAAAGGCCTTGTAGATCAGTTCAATAGTAATTCAGATGCAAAGTTTATCTATGTCAATGCATATGGAATTTTCCAGGACATAATAAACAGCCCTGCAGCATATGGTAAACATTCATCCTTTGTCATATTAAAACTGTTATGTTTGGGATTTCCGATGGTCTTATATGAGTCAATTTGGTTTCAGGGTTTAAGGTTACGAATACCGGATGCTGTGGGGTAGGAAGGAACAATGGGCAAATTACATGCTTGCCTTACCAAACTCCATGCCAGAACAGGGATGAGTATGTGTTTTGGGATGCTTTCCATCCAACTGAGGCTGCAAATGCCATCATTGCAAGGAGATCATATAGTGCTCGGTCCCCATCTGATGCTTACCCGATTGACATCCGCCGTTTGGCCCAGCTTTGAAGTTGGATTTTCCAGAGATACCTGCTGGCTGTTGCTGCTGCAAAATAAATCTAGAATATACTTATGTTTGTCTTTCTGTATCATTATATATTAGTGGTGTCATCAGTTTTATTGTAATATCTCATAAGGAATTTAGTTAACTGTTCAAGTAATTGTACTCTTCACAATATGAATGCACTGCTTTCTTTGCAATTTAGACATCAAAGTTTCATTTTCATGAATAATAATTGGAGAAAGTGATCCCCTCAAAAAGAAAGCAGGAAAATCTGTCATTCTCATTCCGAGATGCTGTGTCACACAACAATCAGTCCACTGCAAAATTTGACTTCTTGGTGATTAAATGAAAACAAACGCTATGAACAGGAGTCTTTAAACCCCATAATAATTTCTTCAACAACCGCACTTTACCAAGATCTCAAGGTACTGAATTAAATTAATTGTCTTTGCTCCGAGATGTCCCAGAAGTTGAGAGATTCAAGTTCACATCTTGGATGTGTTAGAAGTTATGTGTACGGATAAAGTCGGAGCCAATCATATACCCCATAATTATATATATCAAAAGAAAATGGCACACCTTAGATCCGCCATCAAGCTGTTATTGCATATGCAGAATCAACCCACTCCATCCCATCACACAAAACCAGTAGGTCCAATGGTCCATCCTTCCAACGACCAGCTTTAAAGAAAAGGAGCCATCGCAATTCACTATAATCTTACTCTCATTAAATAGTTGCTTCCTATTCCTCTACCCCCTGCATCTGCCTCATATTGAAAGCTAAACTCCTGTCTCACTGATCTGCCCATTATCACCAGGCTGGAATTTCACTCAGTTTCTGCTCCTACACTTTGGCCTGGCATCCATTTATACTTCCAAACGGCTCCGCTACCCATTTCTAACCTTCCACAAAGGCCTCAACAGTCTTTACTACCCCTCTAATATCATTAAAGAAAAGAAGTTAGGTTAGTAATTAGGAAACCTTGCAGAACAAGCATCTATAGGGCCTAGGATCTATTAAAATCCAACTAGTTTTTGTCTCCAACTCCCTAAACTGAACCAATCCCCTAACTTTTTCATCATTTGCTTGATGGCATCTGTGAGGAAATTACTTTGGTTGGTTCTTGTTCTGTTTGTTGAATGTTTCAGCTTTCACCTCTGCATCCATGGAGAATCACAAGTGCCCTGTTATTTCATTTTTGGGGACTCCTTTGTCGATAATGGCAACAATAATAACCTTCCAACGTTGGCCAAGGTCAATTACCTACCATACGGAATGGACTTTCCGGCTGGACCAACCGGAAGGTTTTACAACGGTCTAACTCCAGTTGACATAATCGGTCTGTTTTAACTCTCTTATGTATGATCTTTTGCCCCCTCTTCATTTTTGTTTCATTCTAATTCATGCTCACATCTTCTCCTTCCAGCTGAACATCTGGGATTCGACAACTACGTTCCACCTTTTGCCACTGCTTCAGATTCAGAAATTCTCGAAGGCTTGAACTATGCATCTGGTTCAGCAGGAATCAGGGATGAAACTGGCCGGAACTGGGTAAACTTTTCTTTGTTTCGTCATTAAGCAAGTTAATATTTAACTATTGTAGAGGTTTAAATTTCTGAACTTAAGCACAGAATCTAGAATTGAGGTTTTAAATTTAATTTGTACAAACTTGGCTAAGCTCTTTTGTCTTGTGTGTTTTTTACTGTCAGGGCGTGAATATCAACTTCAATAAGCAGATAGAAAATCATAGAAAAATCACCTCACGCATTGCTGGCATACTAGGAAATAAGAGATCAGCTGATGATTACCTGAGCAAGTGCTTGTACACAATTGTAGTTGGAAGCAACGATTATATCAACAACTATTTCATGCCTATGTATTATGACACAAGCAGAAAGTATTCCCCAGAACAGTATGCTGATGTTCTTATTGATCAGTATTCTCAAAACTTAAGGGTCAGCCCTGAAATTTTCTTTCCTTTTTCTCTCAGTATTTAGCAATTAATTATAGTATTAAAGCATCTTAATATATTGATTTAGTTTAGTGTTTTTTTTTTTTTTAAATGTTTTATAGAGTCTATACCTTCTGGGGGCAAGAATAGTGTCCTTGCAAGGACTTTTACCAATAGGCTGCACCCCAAATGCAACACACTCCTATAAAAGAGCAGCAGCTATATGCGTAGATTCCATGAATAATGCAGCTTATCTTTTCAATCAAAGGCTGAAATCACTTGCCTACCGTCTCAATCAAGAGTTATCTGATGCTAAATTCATCTATTTGAACGTTTTTGACATACCATTGACACAAACTTCTGTACCTGGTATGTAGAAATGATGCTGTACAATGCATTTTGTTTCGCTTTTTTCTGATAATTTTCCCTGGTGTTCTATTTGTTTTGTGAATCTCAGGTTTGAACGTTGAAATCTCAGGGTGTTGTGAAGTGACTAAAAATAGTCTGTGTATTCCTAACAAAGCATCATGTCAGGACAGGGTTTTATCATTGTTCTGGGATGGATTTCATCCTTCCGAGGCGATTAACAAGATCATTGCAGGAATAACATACAAGGCTGTTCTCCCGTTTATCTAAAAACCCAGTAGCAAATAATCAAATTCTTCTATCTCATTTCAATGAAAGAATAATTTTAGGAAATACTATCATTTGTAAAAATCTCTTCCTCTTTGCAGCATTAATGTATGTATAACTACATTACCAGAAAAGAGTCTTTGGAGCTAACTCTGGAGGCTTGGGACATCTAAATTGGGGTGTAGCCAGGGACCAGCTTCAATATCTTTTGGCCCCTAAACCCCTTGATTCCACCCTTAGGTACGACTTTATTCACGTCTAGATTTTCTACATCCACACAAATCGTACTTTTAACTTCATTTTCATAAGTGGATGGGTGTAGGGTCCTGCCTACCAAGATTTGTGCCATTACAGCAATATCTACAAGGGTTTAACCTTTATACATTGCTATCAAAGTTCTTTATATAAGAATAAGAAGGAAAATGACAAGCCTAAATATCCACATGAGAATTGGCTGGGGACACACACATTACTAATCAAAATTCCACACATGAATTTGATTGGAGCTCCGGCACACTATTAAAAGGTAGGAAAAATCTAACGGAAACTCTAAATTCTGTTGCCGACTCCTCACCTCCTTAGTTCCACCACTAGGTACGTGCATGCATTTATATTGACAGCATGGTTTGCGGCGTCCACATGAGTCCTACTTAGTGTCATTCTCAAGAGTGAGTGAGGGTGGAGACCACCACGGGATTTGTGTAAATGCAGATCCAACCGTAGAAATACTAATTAAATTGTAGCTACAGAATTCAGAATAATTAAGTTCTCAGTCGATGTACTTCTGTGTTGATTTATACAGCCCTACCCTGATTCCCAGCCTTTTAATTAGACACAATGGATCAAAGGCATTATGTAGGTGCATATAGAAAACAGTCATGCAAGTATATATTGCTGCATGGAGAAGCTGGAAGGTATAGATATATTACACTAAAAATGTCATGAGGGTTAATCTCCATAGAGTTTTAACCTTGCATATTAAGCGTAAATAACACAAATTCATCTCTGATACACAAACTTTTCAGTCTTAGAATTGTCTACCATGATACTCTACTACTGCAAATCGCTTCCTGCCTTATGTAACATATGTACCTGTGGCTTTAATCAGATGAGAATACTAAATGCACACAGGCGTGACAGAAAGTTCTAAATCAAATGCATTACCTGCACGGAAACATGAAGAAAGTTAAAAAATATAATGATGTCCACAGATCATTTACTCTTCCTATGCATGATCAAAGACATGTGAATTTGATGTAGAGAATTCTTACACTAGCTGGAGGGCCATCTGGTCCTGTTGAGGGTACTGATTGGCAGGTTGTAGTGCATTCACTTGGAAGTAGTTCCGAGAATCAAATGGCTGAGAATGCATGATCTCACAGTTAGCTTCTCCAGGCATCAAATTCATGTTTTGCTGCTTCCTCTCATTCTCCGCTATCTAGAAAACACAATGAATAAATATTCACTAATGTCAAAGTGTTAATGGGAAGAAGAACGGGTAGAAGAGAAAGACCTTTGCTCGGAGAAGTTGGTTATTGTTATGCAAGTCAATTTCCTGCAATATGTGCATATTTGTCATCATCAGGCAGAAGAATAAATATATATAGTGCTCATAAAATAAGAAATATCCATGGATCACTTGTTTCTTTCCTTAATAAGCAATTTTGAATGAAAAGAGATGAAACATAGTATTGTTGCATAAGTTTAAGATTCTAGCTAGTTTCAGTCTTATATATAAGTACTTTTATAGAAAAGAAACTCATGTACTATTCTAACAATTAATCCACACAAACATAAATTAATTCAAGCTCTAAAGTTGAAAGAGGAATACATATAGAAGTTAAAAATGTATGCTTAAAACATTTTAATGTATACAATTTTTGACAAAACTATTGAAGAATGTGCGTCTTCAACCAAAACAGCATGAAAATAAGGTTATCATTCCTTCTATCTGACTTCACATCATAGAAAAATTGGGATGAACTGATATTATGAACCTTTTTTTTATTTTCATTTAGCTTATAGCTAGGATAGGAAGTATACATATGCCTCTTCTAGCGTTCCAATGATTGGGTTTTTTCAAGACTTATTAAATTCTAGAGTAGAAGCTAGCTAGACAATACTTGTGCGGTACGTAATTAATGTCAACTTTATTCTTATATATAAACTCAATTAAGCAATTTATACCTTCTTAAGGCTAATATTATATTTGAACCCTTTACTTTTTTTTGGTAGAAGAACCCTTTACTTTTTAGCTTAAGGTTTTAGGTGAATTGATAATATTTGGGGGATATTTGTGGGGAGACATTTGATATATAGTCTTTCACATATTTTTGACATTAATTTAAAATTAAAAAACTAATTCAATAATTTCATAGATCTTAACATATATAAATCATTTTTTTATTTTCATATTTCTTTCATGTGTGACTCTTGTTTTTACCACAACTCAAAAGGGAGCAACTTCAACAAATATCAATCTTTAACTCCTTCCTTTCATATTAATGTTAATATATGTATAGGAGTTATTTTATTTATTTTTATTTTTATTTTTTTGACATTCCGAGAAGCCCTAAAGAAATTTTCCAATATATAGTGTTTCCTAGCAAAACTGAAGTCATACAGTCCTAGTAA